TCTGTAAGGCCCGTTATTCTTTTCTTTGCATATATTTCTGGGATCAGCTTACGCACCTCACAACAGTTGATTGTTAAATTTGCCTGGCATGTTGCAAGGCATCTGAGCACAATATCTAGTGTCTGATCAGCTGTTTGGCATCTAATGGCACAGCATGACAGCAAAATGGATCAGCACTATTGATGAGGCCTGAGGCACTGGAATATGCTGCCTATTAAAATTTTACTACCACATTACTTCCTGAAACTCATTCCCTAGATACAACAGTCAGTGTGGCTTCTTACTCTGTTCCTGTATGTTCAGGGCTAGATCACGATGATAAAGCATGTGCAATTAATTATTTTTTTACCGCATTGACAGGTGTCAGCTAGCAGCCTTGTTAAGGTTTGTGGACTTCTCTCAAGAGAGAGATTAGCAAATAAATCTCCACCCCTGGCATTATGTGACCAAATTGCAGGATACTTTGCCGATAAAAATAATTAGATTTGTCTTATCCTTGAATCTGCATGGACAGATATGGTAGAAAGGGAAATATATTGCAGAGTTAATAGAAATTCTGTCACTCCAGGTGGCATCCATGTTCCACTTAGCTTCATAGATGGGGATTAGGGATGAGATCCAAGAAGTGATTAATGCCTTTTATTGCAAGAGAGGTGCTTTTTGACTCTTAAACAGGGCCCTTCTTAACAGGTTCTTTCTCAATTGTTGTTGCCATTTGGTATCCAATCTATCCAATCTATCCTTTTGAGGAGTTCATGGAGATTTCCAGGGTTCTTTATCAACCAGGATTGCTCTGGGTTGCTCTAAAAAAACCCTGACCTGGGTTGCTCTAAAAAAACCCTGGAACCCACAATTGACACAAGTGGAAAAACCTGATAGTTGAGAGCTGACAAGTGCCAGGAGCATATTACATAAGTGCTCAAGCCCATATATCAGGGGTATCAAACTGACGGCTGACGGGCCAGATGCATCATGCGTAGGCCACACCCACCCCAGCTCTGTGAAGGCAAAAAACTGTTGATACGTCACATGACATCAACGTGACACAGGGAGTTTGATACCCATGCCATATATGGATCACTGATAAGCTTGTGACTACAATTCACAAGTTCTTGTTTCGACCTAAAATGTAATTTCACCTCAAGCAACCTTGAGGACCATCTTCTTCAGTCAGAATGAACACATCCAATGGATACATTAGAGGAAATTTCTGTGATATAAGGACCTGAGACAAAAAGTAGGATATTTTTCTGTTGTAGCATCAACATTGTACAAAAGCCTCCTTGTAGTTATTAGATTCTCCCCATCTTCCATCATTGTCCTTTTAGAATGCAAAAAAGACAAATTATTTCAAAGGGCCTTTGGGATTTGAACTTGGTTTTGCTGATATGTTATTCATGTCAGGTTGTGTATTCCACTGTGAAGTATTAATTTAGAATGACAGGTTAAGGCGTGACTTTAACTGAAGTGGTTTCAGCTTTAACCATGGCCATTTTAATGTTTATAGTTACTGTGGGTACTATATTATACATATTGTCATATTATACCTGTTGTAAGCAGAGGTGGTATTCAGCAGGTTCTGAGCAGTTCTGGAGAACTGAAATTTTGAGTAGTTTGGAGAACCGGCAAATACCACCTCTGACTGGCTCCGCCCCCCCTCCTCTATTCTCTGCCTCCCGAGTCCCAGCTGATTGGCTGGGTCTTCTTTTGTTTCCCTGCACAGGAGAATGAAGCTGGAAAGCAGGTTAGTGGGGTGGGGAGGGAATGGGGATTTTACAGTATCCTTCCCCTGCCACGCCCACTAAGCTACGCCCACCAAGTCGTGCCACGCTCACCAAGCCACACCCAAAGAACTGGTAGTAAAAAAAAATTGAATCCCACCACTGGTTGTAAGTGCTATGTGTGGGTGTTATAAATCATAATGAAATTTGCTATGTTTAATAATAAACTCTACATATTAAAACATTATTATTATCATCATCATTGCCTCAGAATATGATAAAGATTGCCACTGTCATTGTTCCAAATTACTGGATCCTATGGGAAGGATAGGACATTACCACTGCATAAATTTGTATATGATTTTAAGGCACTCTTGTTCTTTTTTGTCTCTTTGATCTCTGGTGAGCCATGACAAGAGCACCATCAATTTATTATAGGAGAAAATTGACAATCCAGTCCTACTCTTTGGCTCTTAGATAGCAACTCTTCAGTTGGCATCTGTTGTGTCTCTATCTACCTATAAGCCTCGTACCCATATTAGGATTTGCACAGTTCTGTTGTTTGGAGGGCCTGGATTGAAAACAACCTTTAAAAATACATGTTTTTAATATAATTTTATTAAAATTTTACATTAGAAAACTAGGGAGCATAAAGGAAAAAGTTGAAAAAAGAAAAATATATATGAAAGAATCAAAAAAGTGTGTGTGTGAGAGAGAGAGAGAGAGAAATACATCTAAACATGCAATTTCCTATGTTCATTGCAGCAGTTACAAACATGGTAATGACCATTTCCAGCCTCCCAAATTAAATATCATGGTTTCCTTCTTCCCACAAAGAAAAGGATTGCCTTTGATCAATAAATCCCAAAATCACCAATTCATTTTTATCCATTTTCAGCAAAAAAAAAAAAAAAAAAGTCCATAAAGAGCTTTCAGTATTTTAAAAAGCAATTGTTGCTCCATCCTTAAAAATATTTGTATGTTTTCTTGTAAGACTTGTTTGTATCAGGGTAACTTTTGTGAAAGGGATTACCTATATCTGTTTATCGTTAGATATATCCAATAGTTGTGAACCATAGAGCTGTGAGTAAGGAATGCTTTCGCAAACAGCTCCCTTTTATCCTCAGGGATCGAGTGCAGTGTTTTCTGTTATCCATCTTTAAAAAATGAATTCCTGTCACCAATTTAGGCAAATATATTCAAGCATAGCTAGAAGACTAATTCATTATTCTGTCACTTTGTAAGTCTAATAGAGCAAGAGCAGCTGTTGCAAAGTCTCTGAATACCTAACATTGAACTCTTTTGAGTAATAGGATGGGAAAATCAGAGACCCTACAAAGTGTACACAATGCCAAATTAATTGGAAAATAGATGGTCTGAAAGTTAAACATACTCCTGTGGCCTGTAAACATTTGTTCTGCATCTAAAATAACTTTGTTATATTTAATTGAATGGATTTTTGCTTCCAGCCCATGAATGACTCTTTAAACATGAATTATTTCACTTTAAAAAAAAAATACCTTGCAGGGTTATATGATATTACTTCTGTTCTTTGTGCACATTAGGCAAAATGTGATGTGACTTTAATGCCACAATTAGTCTCAGGACAAAAAAATATGTCAGGAAGATGTTGAACAACTTGAGAATAGCTTAAGGCCAATTTAACTTTGTTTCTCCACAGTCTGCTATAACTGACTTATTTCAATTAATTAGTGGTGGGTCTTATTTTTAAAAAGGGAATTATTACTACCAATGTTTCACAACTCTGAATGCAGTATAAAAGAAATTAGTATCATCCAATCTATCTTTATTAATTTGCAATGTTCAATTATAAAATCCAGGCAATTATATATTTTTCATACTTCTTGTTATGTTGCTTTAGAATCCAAAGGCCTGATGGCCACGTATGAATAATCTTCCACATTAGTTTTAGGCCCATATTAAGGAACTAAAAGTGGCTGTAAAAAAATCAAGTTTATATTCCAGGGAAATTTTCCTGTCTAGTACCTTCAAAAATAACAGTTCAGTTTTTTGTCTGCTTATGGTTTAAGGACTAATTTTTAAAAAAATGAAAATGTAATATATGTGGAAGAAGATTTCTTGCCTAAAAAGAAAATTCTTCCTTCTCAACATAATTATAAGTTTGGCATTCGGTTGAGGAATTGTGTCTTTCATCATTAGAGAATAATAAATAATTTACTCCAAAGCTCCAAAGTTTACTCCAAAATTATGAGAGTTGAAGTCCACACATCTTAAGACTCCCTATTTTGAAAAACACTGAGAACAAGAACTACAGAGCAAAACAAAGAAAAATCTTAGGTTTATATTGGTTGGCTTAATCTGTTTGTTTTGCTGCCCAGTTCTTTGGAGAGCATTTCCTTAAAAAAATTGAGGGGGCCAATGTCGTTTTGAATCGGCTTTATTGTTAGTTCATTTTGATGAATAAATTGTTTTATTTAGTTGTATTAGTTTTGTTATTTTAACTACATTAAATGCATTGGTTTTATTCTTGCTCTAATGTTAACAATTAGAGATATTGATGATTCATGATATGTCAATAACAACAATAATAATTATACATTTTTAAATGTTCAGTTGACTGAGTTTCATGTTTAATGGATAAAAGATAATGATTAATAATAATAATAATAATAATAATAATAATTAATAATAATAATAATAATAATAATAATAATAATAATAATAATAATA